GAATTCCCCAGCCAGCCATGCTGGCTGGGGAATTCTGGGAGTTGAAGTCCATCCATCTTAAGGTTGCCAAGTTTGGAAAACACTGGTCTAATTTATGCAAGAGGCAATATATGCCTCCCTTCTTTTTCATGCTGTGTTGTATTTATCTGCAAGTGTCTCTGACTCTCTGTAACAGAGGTTACAAATCTCCTTGGGGATTTTATATATATATTATATATGTGTGTATAGATATATATATATATAAAAAAGAAATATATATATATATAATGAATGAACGAATGGTCTCTTTTAGAGCAGAGGGGTTACGCGGTGGAGCATGCTGGCGGGGGAATTTTGGGAGTTGAAGTCCATGCATGCTGGCTGGGGAATTCTGGGAGTTGAAGTCCACCCATCTTAAAGTTGCCCAGGTCTGATCGTGCGTAAGCACTGTAACCCCGCACCCTTGTGTATTGCCCAGTTAGATCGACACAGGGCTGAATAAAAGTGCAGAAACTCCGACGTCACCGAACTACAATTCCCAGTATGCATCAGCGCTGGCTGAGGCTGGTGGGAACCCGTCGTTCAGGATTCTCTGCCCTGATCGATGGTTCCTATCTCGGCATTACAGTAAGATTGCAAGCTCTATTCCACCTAAACGCGATCTGGCCTTTTACGAAAGAAATGCACAGTGGAAGCCACGATTCATATTCATCTGTACCTCTCTCACTGCTCCACCAGTATTCCCGGCTGCTATGCATAAAAGAGTTTAGAAAATATTACCAAAAGTTTCCCACCTTTAATCTGAACTCTGCTCGAGGCTGTTTGGAGAAGGGTTGAATTCCGGGGATCGCCACATCTACAGTTTCTAACTTGGCTTCGGATATCAATGCTGGCTGGAACCTGGCTAGGGGTGTTGAAAGATACCGCATCTCAGTGTGAAACTGCCAGGATAAACCCTGCCTGGCTAACCATCACCTAAGGGGGTAGAAATATAGTGGTGTTGGCCCAAACAAGCCAGGTTTGCCTTTTTGGACCAAGAAGGGTACAGATATCCCCATCTGAGCCTCCATGAGCATTTAAGACTCACAACACATTCCCGCTGCGTGTGTGTCTGTGTGCGTCTTGATGTCTGCAATACAGAGAAAGAGAATCAATTGTTGCTCTTTCGATACCTGAATTCAGAGGTGTCGGTCTTCCAGATCCCTGCAGTTCAACTCAGGGGTTTTTAATTTTATTTCCCTGCAGAAAAGCTTGCCTTCGCTGCTGAGCATCTATCAGTGTGTGGTCCCAGCTTCGGATCCTATTCTCAATTCTCACCCACCCTCATCCCCTCTAAAAGGAAAAAAAAGATGCCATTTTTTAAAATGAAATGAAATCATTAGAGGCAGAGGCCTGTGAAAAACAGGAAACCTGCATAGGCAGGCCTCAAAGAAGACGCAGAAGCACCAGTGGGGGGAAAAGAATTTAGATTTAAGGGTCTTTTTCACTCTACCCCGTCTTTCCATAGCAGAAGGCACAATTGGCGAAGTTCCTCTTTCCCCGTCCTGTCGCAGCAATTGATTGCCCCCCAGATACGTCCTCATTCCTGATCATGAGCTGCGCTGGCTGGGGAGGATGGGAACTGGAGTATGACCCCCTCCAAAGGGTATGGGATTCCCACCTGTGTTGACAAGGGACAGGAACGTTTTCCTCTCCCTGAAAAATCTCAGTTGCCCCAATTCCGTTCCTCCCTCTCTTTCAGTTACGTGTATTTTGCCCTTTCTGATCTGCGACGAGAGCGGGGAAAAACTAGTATCACCACAAGAATTGTACCACGCCCAATCCAGCGGTATAAAACTGAAATGTTTAATCACAATAGAAAATTAAGGGTTTCCCCACCTTTTGCCCAAATAAAATAGGAGGTAGAGGCAAAGGGTTAAGGGTCAGCTCTTTATGCTCAGCAAAGGGGGGAGAGTAGGCATAGTGTGATCCGTTGGCTCGAATTGGCGTCTTCCCCTTGGAAGGAGGAGCGTTTTGGTTCTCTTGCCACTCTCATGGTGGCAGGATTGGGAGAACCCCCGTCGGGGAGCGGGTTCTCCCATATGTGCAAAACAGGTTGTCTTCTGTATGGACTTCAGCAGCTGGGCCTCACAAAGCAGGTCTGTAGGTTGGCAAGCCAGGGGACACCTTAGGAGGTGTAGAAGTGGGCACATGGATGTCTCAAGTTGGCGTGATCAAGAGGGTCTGAAAAGAGCATCGAGCTGTCCCAAGACCGTGGGCACGCAAGCATTTATGTGAGTTGCATTGCACCAGGTCAACCTGTTGGTCCTTTAAACCCAACGTGGTCCTCTAGAACGGGCAGGACACGTCCGTCCCATCTCCCTGGTCCCTTCAAGAGGAGACCAGGACTCTGTGGGCAGAGTGGCTTTCTCCCACATGATGAGCGGTCAACCCAGGCCAGAGCAGCGCTGCAGGGCCCCCTTCAATCACTCCATGAGCTTGGTGATGTCCAGCACGGGGGCCGGGGTGGTGTGATGGTAAGGCACGTAATTTGGCCGCGGGAGTGTGAATTTGTTCAGGCACCGCAAGTTCCCTGTCTTCAAGATGCACTGGACCGGCCACAGGATGATGCAAAAGAGGATGATGATCAACACCGAAAGCAGGACGACTCGTTTCCAGTCGTCGCATATGGAGCAGCGGGAGAGACGTCCGATGAAGCCTTCTGTGGGGGTCTCGGGCACTTCGGGTTTGCTGGGGGCAATGTCGATGGTGATGCAGGCACTGGCGTTCTCCGGGTCGGAGGACTGTCTGCAGCACAGCTTGGTCCCTTCCATCCAAAGGGCCTTCTCCTTCTGGAGCTCCAGTGGCAGCGTTGCCAACACGTCTTTGCTCGTCTGGAGACCAGGAGCTCCTTCGAGCGGGATGTCGGTGAGCTGCCTGCAGAAGGGGCACGGGAGCTGGTCCTCCACCCGGTTGGGAGGCAGGGCGGCCGTCAGCCGGGCCAAGCACTCCAAGCAGAAGGTGTGATGGCACTGGAGGACCTTGGGCGTCTTGAAGAGGTTGTCGTAGGTGTTGAAACAGATGGAGCATTCGATGGGCGAGGTGGGCCTGTCCGTGGGGGAGCCCAGCCTGGTCTTTCCGTCCACGGGGGAGCTCGCCGGAGACCCCACAGGCGAACACACCCCGGGTCTGTCTTCCGCAGAGGGAGAGGTGATCACAATCGGACTGAGCGGGATCGGTCTCTCGTGGGGGGCAGCCGGGACGGGACTCAGGGGAGTTGTGGGTGGGGATTCTGGCACATCTGTGTGCCAGACTTGGGTGAAGCAGGACATGGCAGAACCTGGGGAAAAAGAAGAAATCAGGACCAATTATATTAGGAGTCAGGTACATCTTCTACACCAGCGTTTCTCAACCTCAGCAACTTTAAAAAGTGTGGACTTCAACTCCCAGAATTCCCCAGCCAGAATGCTGG